TTTGGTTTTGCACTCACCAAAGGGCAAACTCACTGTGTTCGGTTACATAATTTTTACTTTAGGAACTGAGTACAGTATAGAGAAGACAGTAGAGAGGTGAGAATCAAGTTTTTAGATTCATATAGTGGGTCACATTTTAAGACCAAAAAAAAAAAAAATGGACAAAGCATAGCAGCAGCAAACCAGGCCAGTGGTTCTCGAAGTGCGGTTGTGGGCTGCCAGCAGGAGCTTTCCAGGAAGTGCTGGCCAGTCTCTAGAGGTCCTCAATGAGTTCTCTAGGGAGCCCCCAAGTTCAAGACTCGAGGAGAGGTAAGACCATGCAAGTGTTCACTAAGAAACTAAAAGAAGGAGAAACACTTGTTCTCAGCTTAAGGGGCCACAATATCCACTGCCAGCCCACTTTGGGGGATTATCCCTGGAGTGTTTGTGCTTCTGAGTCTGGGGTTGGAGGTGAGGCTCAGGGAGAACAGGGACCTTCCCCTCCGCCACAGTCCCTTTCTTCATTGTTCCCAAAGGGCTGCAGAGGGCGGGGAGACTTGCAAAGAGGAACGGGGTGGCCTTTGCCCAAGTAACTGCCAAAGAGATAATGAACTTGCTCTGTTTGTCGATGTTCCGAGAAAGATGTTCCGAAAGTTCTATACTAATCCTTGTCTGGGACGGACTATGGGAGCTCTCTGATCAAGCTAGATTTCAAAAATTGGTTCCTTGGCAATGTTTTCACATTAGGGATAGATAAATTAATGATTGAAAAGAGAACAACAGTTTAGTCTCTGCCACATGCTATAACAATATTTAGTGACAAGATTTCTTTTCTTTAGGAATCTAAAACACAAAACCCCAAACATGGATTTTTGAGCATTAGTTAAAAGCCACTGGAAACTCCAAATTAAAAATAGCTTTCACCAGACCCAAGGAGGAGCAAGTAGACCTGGCAATTGTCAAACAACAAGAACTAGCATGCAATAATTATTTAGGCCCTGACTTAGAACACAGACAAGGAGATGGGTTAGCTGACCAGCTCTGCGGTCCGACAGTGATTAGGAGTACAGATAGCCCGAGACAGAGAACTGCCTTTTAGTCCCAGTGTTTCCCCTGAGCAGTTTGTGTGACCTTAGGCAAGTGACTTAACTCTATAAGCCTCAGTTTTCACATCTGTAAAATAGGAATAATAATAGTAATAGTACCGGATCTTCATCCTCTTATTATGAAGATTATTCAAGCTGGGTGTTAGCATTTGGCACACATCCATGCTAGTGATTATTATTAGTATTTCTACTACTTTCGTTATAAAGTAAAGATTTTTTTTATAAAGCCCAAATACACAGGATAGTCAGGAAGAGTAAAAGAGGAGAGAGGGTGTTAAATGTGGGGATTTAAATTCTGCATGTCCTCCAAGTCCCCTGTGACATTAAACCTTTCACAAGGAGGATGTCCTGTTTCCAAGTTCTCCCCTCACTTTGTTAGCTCATTGTATTCTGTCTGAGATTTTCCTTTACTTCGTTCGTGTTCACAATTCCTACCTGCCCAGCTAGACTGCAAATCCCTCCAGATTTCACTTCATACTACATTGCTTTAAGAATAAAATCCTCTCAGAGTTCAGCACCTGGTATAGTCATGAGCTGCACAGTGATGTTTTGGTCAACAGACTGCATATAAGACAGTGGACCCATAAGAGCCCGTCTTCTAGTGATGTCAGCGCTGTTCTAGTTTGTGTGTGTACGCCTTGTGATGGTCACACAACAATGACATCACCTCATGACAGTTCTCAGAACTACCCCTCATTATTCAGCAACACATGGCTGTGCACATGGTGTCTAAATAAATGACAGGGTGAGTGTGTGCCTGTGTGGGTCACTGCTAGCCCTTTTTTTCTTCCTTCTCCTAATAATAGCAACAGTACTAATTGGGCCAAAGCTCCTGGTTATTGATGCTTCCTGTGGCCAGCGTGGAACTGAATGTTTAAAGCCCCCATCTGACCATGACCTCGACAGTGTAGGAATCTGTGCATGTCAAATGGGCCTGAGAGAATTGTGAAGAGAACAGTGACACAGAGGATGCTTTGTAGGGTCCTGATGACCCAGTCAAGTTCAAGGGTCCCCCCGAGCCAGCCGTGTCAAGCTCATCTTGCAACTGGAGACACCAACCTTCATCCCTTTTTTCCAACACAGTTCAATGGAGGGCTCTAAGTTCCCCAGGGCAGGGTTTATTTAGGCTCCCTAAAAAGAGATTCTCAAGGAGAGGGGCTTTTACCTTGGGGGAGGGTGCAGTTTGAATAGCTCCCTCCAGGTGTTTCTCACACAGCTTTCTAAGCTGGCCATAACTCATTAAGAAATGCATGCTACAGTGCCAATCAGATAGTATGGCAAAGATTTTTTGTGAATGATGCTGATATTCTTAGGAGGCCCTCTGATGTTTTGCCATTTTATTTCATTAAAATATGATGGCTATGACAAGAAAGAATGAAGTTTTGTCATCTGCAGCAACATGGGCAGAACTGGAGGGCATTATCTTAAGAGAAATAAACCAGGCCCAGAGAGGCAAGTACCCCATGTTCTCACTCATATGTGGAAGCTAAAAAGTCCATCTCAAAGAAGTAGAGAATAGAACAGGGATTATCAGAGGCTGTGAAGTGGGGAGGGAGGGAGGGAGGGAGGGAGAAGGGGTGGTTAATGGGGGTACAGGGTGGAGTTAGATAAGGAGTGACTCCCAATGTTCTGTAGCCCAGTAAGACAGCTGTGGTTGACAACAAATAACTGAATATTTCCAAATAGCCAGTAGAGAGGATTTCCAACGCTTCCACCCAGCATAGAGAAATGCTAAACATCAGGGGTGCCAATGTCTGATATGTGCCAGTCCCTCGCACCTGATCATTACGCACTGTACACGTGTTCAGAACTGTCACGCTGTATCCCATAAATATGTAAAATCACTATGTGTCAGTTAAAAATAAAAACATCAAAAACTAAAAATAAAACAAACAAATAGAAATGATGGTTGTGAGAATATGGTGAAGTTGGAATCCTTACATTGCGTATTTTTGGTAGAAATGTAAAATGGTCCAGTATCTTTGAAAAACAGTTTGACAGTTCCTCAAAATCTTAAGCTCAGAGTTACCAAGAGACCTAGAAATTCCACTTGTAGGTATATATTCAAGAGAAATGAAAACATACATCTATTCAGAGTCTTGAGCATTAGTTTCATAGCAGCATTACCTATAGTAGCTAAAAGGTGGTAGCAAACATAATGTCCATCACCTAAGAATGAAGAAAACGTGATAGATCCATACAAGGGAATATTATTCAGCAACGTAAAGTATAAAATACTAACACATGTTACAACCTAGGTCAGCCCTGAAAACATGCTGAGTGAAAGAAGCCAGTCACAAAAGACATCAGACTGTACGATCCCACTGATCTGAAGATAGACGAATAGAATTCCACGATAGACGAATCTATTGTGACATAAAGTAGAGTTGTTGCACATAGCTAGAAATGAAGGTGGCAGAAATGGGGAGTATGGAGCTTCTTTTTGGGGTGATGAAAATGTTCTAACAGCAGAATGTGCAAGACTCTAAATATATTTTAAAAACCTGAGTCCAAAGATTTAAAGGGATGAATGTGTGATCTATGACTACCTTAGCAAAGCTGTTTGAAAATGATGTATGTGACCCAATAAATTGTCTTCACCACCCTATTTGGGTCACGACACAGGTGAAAACTGTCCTGGATCAGGCCACCCACTTCTCTGCCCCTGACCCACCCTCTCCACAAGAGTGTTGCCCTGGAGAGTGAGGGCAACTGCAGTCCTTGGGGTACAATGCCCAGCATGAGCTGCAGTGGGTGGATTCTGGCTGTGTTCACAGCAGCTTATCCCTGGGTGGAAGACTCTGTTTCTCAGTCTTCCTAACAGCTGTGGAGGCCAATGAGAACAAAAAGCCCGGGTGAGATTTCTGGAGGAGATGTTTCCCCTAATTAAAAAAAATTATGTTAAAATGCCTATAACATGGAAATTATCATCTTAACTATTGTTATGTGTGCAGATCAGTGGTATTAACAACTGCAACGTTGTGTAATCACCACCCCACAACCTATCTCCAGAACTCTTTCATCTCTCACAGGTAAACTCCCTTCCCCTGCCCCCAGCCCCTGCAACCACCATCCTACTCTAGGGTTCTGACTACTCCAAGTACCTCCACTAAGTGGAATCATACGGTATTTGTCTTTTTCTGACTGGATTATTTCACTTAGCATAATATCCTCAAAGTTCATTCTTACTGTAGCATGTGGGAAAATTCCCTTCCTTTTTAAGGCTGAGTAATATTCCATCATATGCATGTAGCATCTTTAGTTTATCCATACTTCCATCAGTGGAAACGTGGATGACTTCTACCTTCTGGTTATTGTGAATAAGGCTGCTATGAATATGGATGTGCAAATATCTCTTCAAGATCTCGCTTTCAATGCTTTTGGATAGATATCAAGAAGTAGACTTGCTGGATCATATAGTAATTCTATTTTTAATATTTTTGGGAACCACATACTGTTCCATACAACAGTTATACCATTTCACATTCCCATCAACAGGGAACAAGGGTTCCAATTTCTCTGTACCTTTCCCTACATTTATTATTTTGTTTTTAAAAAAATACTATCCATGCTAATGGTGTGTCTAAGAGAGACTCCTGAGTGTAAAGAGGCTGACTCTGTAGTTGGGTGCCCTCTTTTGCCTCCTTTTTTTCTTTTTCTCATAATTTGATCTTGATGGCTTTATCTCTAGATGCTTCCGGACTTCTTACATGACTGAATAAACCCCTAACCGGCTGAAACCACTGAGCTGAGTCTCTGGTGTTAGAAGCCAAAGAAATTTCTAAACAACATGAACCAAGGCTGGACCCTTCTGGAAATAGGAGCTACTCTCTCACCCGGAATTGTCCACCTCTCTGCCTTTCTAAAGGACTTCTCCTGAGTCCCATCTCCAAAGGGAAAGGGGAAGCCACCTACCTTGTGATTTTAAATATCCTCAGTAGCCGCACACATCTCAGCACAGAGATGCCCAGGGGAGACATGATCTTGGTCTCCACCAGGATGGTCTCCAGGATGCCCCCACACACGATGAAGCAGTCGAAGCGGTTGAAGAGGGACACGAAGTAGGCCTGCAGGCCCAGGCTGTACATCTTCAGGAGCATCTCCGCAGTAAACAGGGCCAGCAGGGCCTTATTGGCTGTGTCTGGCAGGTGTCGGGGAGGGGTGGGACCCAACCAGAGGCGGAGAGGGGGGTGGAGAGGGAGGAGAAGAAAGCAGTAATTATCAAGTCTGGAGACCCAACACTCCTCCCTCCCGTGCCACCTTTCCCTCTGCTCCTTCCGGAATGAACAACTAGGGCCAAACCAACAGAAAGGGACAGCTGATGGCAGTCCTAAAAAACACTTATTTAGCATCTACCATGCATGCATTATCCTCTCTACTCCTCACAGCAGTTCTGTAAGGACTGGTGCTGCTACTGTTGAGTCCAGTTTTCAGAGATGAGAATGGAGGCTTGCAGAGGTCAGGAATCTGCCCATGCCAACCAGCCAAAAGCTGATCAGGCTGCCTGCGTCTGAATTTTTAACCACCAGACTAACTGCTTCCCAGGCTTCTGGAATGCAGATCCAAAGGGCTGTGTCTGCCTGACCCCCTGGGAAGGATGCTGAGGTATATGGTAGTGGATCTCCTTCGAGTGGTCTAGGACAGGGAGCTGAGTCTGAGCTATCCTTTGCAGAAAATTCCGGTACTCACACTATTTCCCTCTTGCCTGCCTTTTGCCCCTCTCACCCTCATGTCTTGGGTGAGGCCGCCTGGAGGCTGAGGAATTGAAGAACCATTCTGGGAAGTTGGCAGCCAGATCAGCCTGTGCCTTTGACACCAGGGCCCAGCAGTGACTGTGGGGACAGGCAGATGGTGTGGGCCTTGTCCTGTCTGTTTAAAACAAGGCTATGTGCAGTTCGTAACCTGTCAGCACCTTGGAGTCTCCAGCATGGCACCTGCCAAGAGCCACGACCACTGGCTGCTTTCCCATCAACCTTCTAGTCAGTGGTAATTTCCTCCAGGAGACCCAGGGTGGAGCGAGCAACAGTAGACAGGCAGAGCCACAGCTGCTGCTCACCTTGCACTTCCGTGAGCCAGTGGGGCTGGTTGTAATGTTCCGAGGCAATAGTAAGTGTATTGAGGAACACCAGGAAGATCACCAGCCAGTAGAAGACATTGGACTTGACTGCAGCACGGCACTTTCTTCTGCAGAACCGATTCCACCTGCGCCAGTAGCGGCTGGGAAAAGGCCAGGGGACAAGGATGGGGTTGGCTGTGAAATGCAGATTTCTGCCAGTGCAGAACACACCCCACGATTTCTTTTCACCCTGAAATGACTTGGTCTTACTAGAGCCGCTCAACCTGGTGATGAGGAGACAAGCCTTCCATTCAGCTAACTGGGCTCTCTCGTGCAGAGCTGTGTGGCCTTGGGTCTGTCCCTGATTTTTCTAAGTTTTGTTCTCTCATCTGTGAAATGGGAATGAGCCAACTTTATGGGGCTGTCGTAGGCACTGATAAAATGCCACACAATGCCTCTGGTATAAAGCTGAAGGTGCCTGACAAACACAACTATTTTCATTTTCTCCAAATGGCATTATTAGAAATAATATTGTCTCAAAGGGTAATTAGAAATAGTGGCGGTGGCAGTGATAGGATTCACAACGATCATCATTCAGGAACCCGATATGACCGGTGCTGTCTTAGTCACTTCTCATGACTTGCCCGTGATTCTTTAAGTCACTCTGCACTGAAGGTGTGATTCTGACTTCGTAGAAGAAGAAGCATAAAGGGCTCTGGGGATGCACCACAGAGCGGCAGAGCCACCACGGTCTCATAGGATCTTTTCAGAATCTGCTGAGTGTTTAGACCCTTTTTCAAGAGCACATTTGCACATGCTCACGTACTGATATAGAAGTTCAAGCACTACATGGGCCCTTGAAGCTCATTCATAGCCCATGTCTTCTTCCCATGGCCTCTTGGTTAGGGATCTTTGTCAGCGATCCACAAACACAGCTATATACAGAATTACCTGGGGAAGATTAAAAACCATCAACAATGCCCCCTTCCCAGTGCCCAGACTCTAACACCAACACAATTAAATTTGATTCTTGGGGGCTTTTTAAATACTCCAAAAATACCACCAACGTTTTTGTAAGTTCCCCAGCTGATTCTAATATGTAACTATGCTTGAGAACCGTTAAGCTGGATGATCCCAAAGAAACATCCACATTTTGTGATTCTGCGGTAGAGAGGTTCACAGCCTATCCCTAATTCCATCCTTTTCATTCAGAGAAAACATGTAACTCTATTGACAACTGGCCTACACTGCACAAAGGAGAGAAAGAAGGGGATGAAGAAGGAGACTGCAGAGAGCCACGCTGAGGACTCAGAGAGGGGGACTGACAGGATCAGATTTGCTTTCAGGATATCAAATATCCAACAAACCCAACACACTTTCAAGTTCTAGATCACAGATGGCACAGGGAAGCCTTTTCCAGTTGTCTGGGTTGGAGGTGATGAAGGCACTGAGAAGACACCACTGAGTTGATGGCAGTTTTGGAGGCAGAATCAGCAGGACTGTGAGGTGACTGTCATGCAAGGTGGGAGAGGAAGGTACAGAAGGGGTGCCAGCATGTCTGGCTGGGGTACCTGGAAGAGGGGCACCCTTCACACGTGGAGCCCTGGAGGAAAGGTAGTCTGGACGGGGAGTCAGGGGAGGTGGAGTGCTCAGCTGGGGACACGGGTTTGGGGCTTTTTATGGGCATTTGTGTAGACAGACCCACATGTAGGTGAGGACTGCAACCTGCTTGGGCAGTAAAGAAAGCAGAGTATCAAGGAACAATCTTGAAGCAACAGTGTGCTTTTCTAGACGATGACCTCCATTTTTCCTCCATTCATCCCAGTCCGGGCAGACAGCCCTCTAAATAAGCTGCTTCAGAGGAAAGATTTTCAAACTTTACACTGCAGCCTATTAGGCGGCATAAAAGCTGTGGAGTAGGCTGTGACTGGCACTGAAAAGAGAAAGGATGGAAAACAGCACAGGGTGTATCATATTACAGGAAGAAAATTGGTACTGGGGACTGAACCTAGAGCCTTCAAATTGAGCTACACCCTTAGCTCTTTTTATTTTGAGACAGAGTCTTACTCAATTGCTAGGTTGTCCAGGCTGGGCCCAAATATGAGATCCTCTTGCCTCAGCCTCCCAGAGGGCTGGGATGACAGGTGTGGTGTCACTATGCCCAGCTTCACAAGGACATTTTTAAAAAGTAAAGAGTAAATACAAAAATTCAAATAAAACTTTCAAGTGTGTGCACTGCACTGAAACAGGACGTGAACATTGGGTTTCCACTGTAAGGTAATATAACTCAGCTGAGTTCTTAGATTCTAAATCTGAGTCCACAGCATAGATCTGTATCCTCAGTCTTCTGGAGTCTTTTCCTCTGTGGGTTTGTTCTGGTGGAGCACCACATCCCATGCACACGAACAGCTCTTCTGTGGGTGGCATGTTGATTAGCAGTGCCCTGGGTCACAACCGCACCATCTGCAAGTGGGCTCAGGGCAAGCTATGTGTGTGTGACATGCTATGCCCTCTAGTCTTTGCCCTCTGCTTCCAGAAAGAAAGCTCCTCCAAGTGTCACAAGCTCCAGAATGTGAGGGACAGCTCACATTCTGAGGCTCCAGGGATGTAGACCTCTACTTTAATGGATCCCTCCACTCACACCACAAAGTGCCCTTGGGGAAGCTTGGCATCATCCAAACTTCTAACTGGGGCATTTTTTTTTACTGCCTGTCTGCAGAAAACCTGTTACCAAGCCTTTGATAAAATTGACCATGAGATCAGAAGAGTGATGAGTACTCTAAGGAGGGTTTTCTTTCCTCAGAACTGCAGGAAAAATTTAGGGCCTTAGAGAAGGTAGGGAAGGAGGAAATAATCTAGGTCGTGCTCTGGTCTGACCTGTACATTACTAAGTGTTTAGATGCCACCTCCAGTAAGTGCCTAGGGGACACTTACCTGCTGGGGACAGTTACCTGCTGCTTGAGGAAATTCACCACACAGAGAAGAAGCACCACGTGGTCAGACAGTCTCCAAATACACTTTGGGATGCTTGTAATCTGCCACGTTACCCCCCTGGATATGAGTGAGGATGGAGGAGGGCACCGAGAGGGACCAGAGAATGAGACGAGGCCCAGGTGGCCTCAGTGAGGGGTGACATCTGGAGTGTGCGAGATATTGATCTCAAGCAGGTCTGTCTTGCTAGGGTACAACTCTGCTACTTCCTGGGATTATTCATATTGTAGTGAAATTTGGTAAGATAACTTTTTTTTCCTGAAAAATGAATTTTCAGGACAAATTCATATCAGATCTTAAATAGCTTACATTGTAGTTGCAAAAAGTATATTTTAAATAGATATAATCTCATGTTACAGAAATCACTGATAACTGTTATTCAGAGCTTAAAGCCATCAAAGTCGCTTTCTTGTACTGTAAGCAGGAACTCACTTAAAGTCAGTTTAATAACGAGAACTCAACCAAGTCCCTCTTTCCCCAAGTGTAGGGTAGCGGATGCAGGGTGCTGTGAGGTCAGGCCTGTCACTTGGGTCTGGTGTGCCCTGCCCCAGCCCTGTTCCATCATGCTGTTCCTGCATGGAACCATGGGTGAGTCACGTGGATCTGGGCTGGGGAAGGGGTGGGGGTAATTACTATCCAGAGAAAGTATTTAAAGATAATTATACACCTCCCACTCTTCAAAATATAGCTTTGCTTGACAACTGGTTTCCTGGCAACACTTCTTACTATATAATAATAAATGCAATGGTTTATTAGAATGTGTAAATTTATTTGTGTGTTTACATAGGCATAGAGGATATAGAAATTAAATGATAAAATAGGGAGGAGAAATTTGCTTGCTATTCATGTTCCCTTCGCATTAACTGGAAGTCATTTACTCTAGAAATAGAACCTTCCGTATGTAGACACAGGAGAGAAGGCTGGACACGGATGCATCCATTCTCCTTCCCTAGGCATCTGCCATTGTCTGCTCCCTTTCCTTGGCTCACCTTGCCTTCTCTCAGAACAGACCTTGCTCTTGCCTTTCCAGCTCCACAGAATGCCTTCTCAATGCCCAAGGCCTCTAACCTTTTGTCTGGTTGTCTCTTCAGCCTCAGCTTCACTATGATGGTTTTCCCAGCCTGGATACCTCTGTAGTGCTTGTCTGTATTACTTATTTTTGTTGTACAGTCAAGGAATGTTTATAAAATACCTACTATGGATAGTATTCAATAGTTGATGCAATCAATACAGTCCTTGTCTGCATGAAACCCATACAAGGTACAGAGCAGGAAGTGAGGAGTCACAGCAGCGTACGGTACTTATGTGCATGCTCTGCAAGCAGGTCGCGGGAGAGTGTGACAGTAAGCACATTTCAGCCAGTCATGGGGGAGTCAGGGGAGTTCTCCCAGAGGAGATGGCTTCCCATTTCCTGCTACTTTAATTTTAGGGTTCCTGCTTCTCCAATGAGATCAGAAGATCCATGAGGGGAAGGGACTGTGTCCTACACTTTGTTACAGATCTGCACTACTTAGTGCAGTCCATCTTACACAACAGGACTCGCCTGACAGTTCGTGTGAGCTGCAGAGACAAACTACACAGATCTACCAACTTCCTGTAAAGACAAGGCGTAAAATTCTCAGCCTTCGTGTAATTCTTGGCGGGGTGGAGTAGGGGTGGGTGAAGGAGGGGACTGTACTCCTAAAATGGTTTGCTTGGCAGGGTATTGCCAACAGGCATCTGGTATGGAAATAATGGACATGCCAGGCTGTCTCTAGTGACTGGAGTAAATTTCTATCTTTTCTTTAATAGAATGGAGAAAAAATAGCAGAGAAAAATCACTAAGTTTAATTTTTTTTTTTTTTGTGACTAAGTACCTGGAAATGAACTATTAGAGTCTGGGGCAAATTTGGGTTTGTGCCTTACTGCTTATGGCATGGCAGAACTACAAGGAATGCCGGAGATACATTTTGCTGAGACTGGGCTGCACAGTTCAGAATACCATGAGTTTCATTTCAGAACTCTGTACCACTGAGGTCCACAAACTCCCACAGTCATCCAATTTGTCTCATCAAGTTGCAAAAGACTGAAGAATTTGTTCCATGTTTGCATCCTGTTCTAAACAATGTGAATTTCTTATTTTACCTTGTTTCTTTAAGTGGAAACCTGGATTATCAAGGAAATACTCTAATATTAGAAGTCTATTAATTTGTTAAAATTTCCCTAAAACCACTTTTCTTTCTTTTTTGGTACCGGGGATCGAACTCAGGACCTTGTGCTTGTGAGATAGGCGGTGGAACTGCTGAGCTAAATCCCCAGCCCTAAAACCACTTTTCTAATAAAACTTTTAAATACACCGTGACTTGTATCACTTGTATCAGTCTTGCACATAGGACAGGCAGGACAGTTTGAAGCTCAAATTTTAGTATTTGTCACTGTCAAATTGTTTCACCTAAGAAAACAATTTGGTATACTTGGATAATTTGGTGACCTCTTCGATCAATTGCTAGCCTTTGATATTCCATACCCAGACATCATTAGCGGGCTGTGGAATCTGGGTTAGGTGGCTGCTATTTGACACCCACTCAGAACTTCTAGGGTGACACTGTCTGGGCCAGCAGCCAGTAGCAACATGTGGTTGTTGTGCACTCGAAAGGTGGTCATTTTGGACTGAGAAAAGTGATAAATATAATGTGTACCCTGGATTTCAAAGACTTAGTGAGGGAGTGAGGGGATGTAATCTTATATACTAAAATTTACATTAATTACATGTTGAAATAATAAAGTTTTAGATACACTGGTTTAAATAAAAGATATTGAGATGAATTCCTTCTGTTTCTTTGTACTTTTTGACATGGGCACTACAAAAATTTTAAAGGCACACATGTGGCTGGCTTTGTACTTCTATTCAACAACATTTCCCTTGTGCAGTCCACTCTGTGCCCACAATATGGTGAGTGACACAGGCACAGGGTGTAGAACGCCTGGCCAGAACCTGGTCATAGGATGGCAGAATGATCAGCAGCAGGTTCCTGGCTGTGAATTCTGACACGATCCTATGTGAGCCTTGGGCTCCTCATGTGAGATGGGCTTAATGACTATACCAACCTACCAGTAGTAAGATTTTGGGAACAGAGTCTGCTCTCTGCCTCTCCCTTGCATTATGAGTCGTGGTTACAGAGTGAGACACTCTTCCCATAGAAGAGGGATCAGGGCCAGGGGCCAGTTGGTGTCTCTCTTTTTCAAAAGGACAAGTTATTCCACAGATCACTGGATTAAAAACAGAAGTGTTCTCACAGTGTCCTGGGTACTCTCTAACTCAGGAGGGTGTGCCAAAGTATACAAATTTCCCTTCCCTCCTCCAAATGACATTCATTCATTCATCCGTTCATTCACTCATGAGTCATATGCTTACACATGATGAGAATGAAATTTGGAAATATTTTCAACTGTATTTTGATATTCTTTTACTCTTATTATGTGGAGGCTTTGGAACTGTTGAGAACATAACATGCTTTCTCAGGTTTGGCTATCAAACTAGCTGTTGAGAGAGACAGAGAGCGAGCGAGCGAGCGAGAGATATCCATGTATTATTTTTATGTTTTCAGAGTTCTCTGTCATCTAAAAGAGCCAAGTCTGGGAAGTCTGACTTTAGATTTTTATATAAAGGAGGTCTTGGCTTGAGAGAAAGAGAAAGGGGAAGAAGCCTGAATTTTCCAGTCCAAGTGGAAGATGGGAAAAAGAAGGTGTCAGAATTGGAGCAGAGAGTCAGACACTCAGGCACTAGTGTTCCCATTTAATTCTTAGCTCCAGAGCACTAAGCCCCAGGAGGTCAGAAGGGCATATTCTAGGAACACCTAAAAGCCATGGGGAGGGGTAGGGACACTGGGGCAAGAAGGTAGGCTCTGCAGACCCTGAGAAAATGTTAACCTTTGGTTGAGAGCTCTATTGGGCTGGTGCAGAGAGAGTACTGGGACACAGGGAGGTGGAGGAGCTGCTGTACTCTCCTGGCTCCCCTTAGCTCATTTCTGGAGAGCAAGGGACCTGGAAGTGTCCACACACTCAGATGAGGTGTGCAGGTGCTTAAAGTCAGTGGACTAACAGAGCTTGGGGTCAGAGAATAGAGGTGGAAACTTCAAGACTGGAGGAAATGGGAATGGAGCATGGTCTCCCATGACCCCCAAGCCAGATGGACCTGCAGGTACCAGTTCCAAGCACCCAGAGTAGCTCTGTGTAGCACAGTAGGTACGAGCCAAGTGGACACATGAGGATTCCAGGATCAGTCCTCATCAGCCCTGTTTCTGGGGTGATGCCCTTCACACTCATGTATCCAGATCCACTCCAGAGGGGAGTTGGGGAAAAAGAAATCTGAATGACTATGCATGTGGCTTCAAGGAACAATTTATAATCACTGGGCTGTGGCATCTACCAATTTAGTATTACTTATACTCCCGTGACGGAGCAGGTGAGGCTAGGGAAATAAGATCAGGTGCGTTTAAGATTTGTAGGAGTCAATTTGTATCCCCATTCCCCCTAGCCATCCCTGCATCCATTCATCACACATGCAGGGACAGCCAACAGCTGGGCAGGCACTGAGGTGGACCAGAAATAACAGTACTGAGGCATGCAGACAGAGCCTAGCAGGGGCAACGGGCCTCTGAGCCAACAGAGTGTAACACAGCTGGTGCTGCGATGGAGCACTGACAAAGCTCTATGGGAATGGGTGAAGGAGAGTCAGTGTTCCCTGGGAGAACAGAGGGCTCTGGAGAAACAGTAGCATTTGGGGTTATTGGCAAAAGTCTGAGTTCTCCAGACGAAGTCATGGATGGCGATTTAGGTGGAGGAAAAACTCCACACAAAGATCTCAACATGTAAGAAGACAAGGAACTTTTGGGTAACTGTAAGAAGTTGCATGTATTGGGAACAAAGGTCCTTTGCAGGGGGTACAGGAGATGAAGCCGAAAGACAGCTCCTGGTTGAAGACCATGGTCCTCTGGGAGGCTATGATGTTATCTCAGAGCAACAATGCAGAATCACAGCTCTACATGTCTTCCATTACCCTTAAAGTTCTTATCTCACCTTGTTCTATAAACACGAAGTAGGTCAAGACAGGAGTGAGTGTCCACATGTTTATTTTAACTGGACTTTCTGCTTATAAGGGAGAGAGATATATTTGGTCTCAACCTCCCAGAGACAGCACTGTCAAAAAGACAGATAGACTAAGGGAATTAAAAACATCTCAGCCCTTGAATTACTTGCCTCATCTTATGCATAAGCGTCTTATTAATAGCCATACACAAGAAAGCAGTTATCCCCTTAGAAAAACACCCCTTATGCTTTCCCCAGCAGGGTGGAGGTCATGTTGGGTCATCCAAAACGGTAGCTGAGGACTGAGCTGGTGGGCAGAAGGAAAGAAAAACAGTATGTTTTTCACTTACCTGAACTTTGATTTGGAGATCCGGTGGCTGGAAGAGAAAAAGGAAACATTACTAGAAGACATGCAATTTCTTCCATGAAAAGGGCATTCAACAATCCCAGAGGAGTTTGATGTCCCCCAGGGTCCCAAGTGATATATGTGTATTAGAAGCATCTGAAAGGTGATTTAGAAGGCTGGAGAGAAAGAACACTACTTCTGTACTTGAATATGGAGACCAAGGGCTGGCCCAGGAGACATCTACAAATCTAGTCTCTTCCAAGTATAGATGATCCTTGCTGGAAAGGGAGTGTACTGTGTCCTCAGGTGACCAGGGTCTGCTCAGCAAGCTCCATGAGGAAGTAATGTTAGGAAGATGCCATCTTGAGAGAAGCTATAGAGGTAGGGAAAGCCTTCCCTGCAGGAGGGAGGACTCCACCAAGAAAGCACAGCATGTTTTTCAGAAGCCAGGAGCCCTCCCAAAGCTGGGCTATGAATCGAAGACAAAACAAGCCAGTTGGAAATGGAATGACCACTTCATCCCCTCTCAGGAGCTTAAGAAGACAGCCGCAGGTTCTGAGGAGAAACCTGGAAGGGCGACAGTCAGGTGCAACCCAAAGATCTGTAGGCTTTGGGCAGAAGCACAGGGCAGCTGTTCAGGTGACAGTGCCTTGAAGGTTGTCCCAGGGGAAGGTGCTCTTTTGAAAAGTGGAAGCTTTAGGAAGACCCTGAGATCACCTAGTTTATATGGAGTCTAGGGGGAACTGGGAGGAGGCAGGGAGAAGAGGGCAAGAGAGACTTGAAATGAGAAGCATGGAGGAGGAGAGAGAGAAGGGGCAGGGGAGAGTAAGCGCTTGAAACAAAAATCTGAAGGCATGTGCCAGATTGGCTTTGGGGCTAAGAGGAGTGAACAAAGGTGAGACTGCAGGTAGAGTGGCAAGGCTTAGACGGATGAGCAGAAAGACAGAATGTGAGTGATAGATAATGAGCTAGCAGGAAGAGACCAGGAGCGATGGGAGAAAGCAGGAGAGAGGAGTTTGGGAGGTGGCTGCTGTAAGCTTGCATCGTCCCAGCCCAGCACAAAGTGAGCTGCCTCCTCACATAGCAAGAAAACACCAACCCCTCTCGTTATTTTTATTTAAAAAAATTAAACCAGAAGATGTGACAGGTGGCAAAGCCATCGTGCATAAGATAATTATATCTCTGGGGCACAGAGAATGAGATCCAAGTGCTTTTACTGCTATGAACCACTAGCTAATAACCTTTTCCCACCCCAACGGCTGCCAGCTACGGCACAAGGGTTTAATCACATGTTAACAGCAAGTGAGGGAGGGGCCGGGAGCCAGGGGCAGCATTTTTATTTAAAGCTACAATTTAATGGGGAAAACAAATGTTCTCCGGCTGCTAATTGGGTGATGGGAATCCAGGTTGCTCTCTTTTCCAGCACAGCTACGCCGAGCTGGGGACCTTCAGCATCTTCCCCAGGTTTACTTCTGGGCAGCTACTTCTCCTTGCTGTTAAATATAAGCCAAAGCAGGTGACCATGGCCTCTAGCCTTAAGACTTGGTCTCTGAGCCTGGCTTGGCCCCAGGGTTTCCTTCAGCCTGTCTTCTCTGGCACGTGCTTCAAGGCAGACCACACACGTCCATAAGTCTGGGTCACACTCAGTCCAACGAAGTCACAAGGAAAAGTAGGTTCTTAGAAACTCCCAGATCATCTGAGTGTTCCTATTTCCCGAAGAAGCAACTCTGGGACATGAGTTGGGGATGATCAGGGGTGGGGGTGACTGAAATAAGGTGCTAGTCACACACAGGGATTGACTATGGGTCCCTTATTGGGATTCGGGTCTCACCTAAGCAGGAGGAAACGGAAAAAGGGACTCTCTTGTCCACTTTTTTCTGAGTCCTGATGTCCAGGCCTGGACTCCATGTTTTTTTTTGTTTTTTTTTTTTCCTGGACTCCATGTTTGAAGACATTTTTTCTTTTTGCTCTTTCAGGGGATTGTGAGCATAATTTTCAGTTCTCTGGGTTCAAAACATTCATCTCTTTTTCAGACCGGCACATTTTATGAGCACTGAGCAGAAACACCAGGGTCCATCACACACCTGACCTCGAGGAAGGTGGGTGTTGCTTGCATGGCCTTGTGTGGAGGTGCAGGGAACGCTAGGCTGTAGGGAGCTGGGCTTAGAACTGAAAGCTGAATGTCTGGATTCCTCTGTACTCCCTGTGTACAGGTGCAGCTAACTGAGGTCCCTACTTCAGGAAAACAGAGCAGCCCCTGCCGGCAGCCACCACACAGTGCTGGACAGCTGCTTGCACTGAAAGAAGGGTCAAGGAGCCGTGGGCACCTCGCAACCATCGCGGTTGATGGCGGTTTAGTCTGTGGAAAATGCTGGCTCCTACTGAGTTTTAAGAGGTCCAGATCGCCAAGAGTCCTCAGAACAGCAGGGGCCTCCAGGGGGTCCAAGCTCTAGTGGCACAGGTGCAATTTGCTCCGAAAACTTCTCGATTTCCCCACCATTATTATTCTGCTGAGGTGCAATTCCCACCTCAGCCTGTAAACCGACTCATGAAGAAGAGCAAGGAGGGGAGAAAGCTGGTAACTAACTTGAGACCTTCAGAATCCTCCACGGAGCTAGAACTGAAGTCCATTCACCCCAAGACCCTTGCTCTGCCTGAGCCAGGACAAACCTGCAAGACCATGATTTTCTTCCTTGGTTCCGAGGTTCAAAATGAGAGAAAAACCTAACACTCTTTTATGTCTGCTTACTCAGTTTGCACTGTCATTATTTGATAAATATTTGAATGTCTTGGGAGCTATTTATATTTTCAGCCTCTCTCTCCTTCTTCAGAGAATGAGCACCACATGTGTACTACCTGCTGTGTGAAACAGTGTGTCCTTAGATTGTCCCCAGTTTTCCTTTAACATAAGTCAGGGGCATGCAGTCATCATCCCCGCGGACGGCCCTGACTCAGCCTCTGGAATGCCCCACTTTCCTCAACAGCCCAGCTGCTGTTACTGGTAGGGCACATCCTGGACCTCATCACCACAGAGCACTGCTTCACCTGCTGCACGCTTAACTTGGTGGATCCACATGTCTACCTGAGCTTCCTTCCTGCTGTCTCTCCTGCTATTTCATGGAATCCGGCCTTTGCCCCACTGGGTCCTCTCAATCCCTCAGACTCTCCCAAGGCTCCCAAGCTAATTCCACACTTGACTTCTAGTGCTCAGCCTGACGCAGGTCACGTCCATGTGGGCCTCGATACCTGGTGGACTCCTCTATACCTCTGACTGGGCCTGTGTGGCTAAACCCACACAGTGGTTCAGCCTGCTGTCTGTTCTTAGTGCTCCCAGGCCTCAGAGTCTGCCAAACAGAAACATGGAATTGTTCTGTGAGGCCAACTCCACACTTAGGACGTCAGTCTGCACTGGAGCTTCAGTGCTGCCCAACAATCTCTCAGCGACTCCTTGGTGACACGCTGGGTTTGAATCTTCTGCTGCTATGACCCCTAACGGTGTGCTCTGTGATGGGATGATGGAGAGCATTTGGTGCAGTCTTCATCAGCGCTGGCTCCTGATTCCACACTCTCTGCAGAACCGTAGGCTCTGAGGACTAGAAGGGACCCTGGGGCCATGGGGGCCTCTGGTGTGCAATTTCTCAGCTGCAGAATGCTTTATCTATGATGACTCACATGGGGGTCCAGCGTGTCAGAGAGGGAGGCGGTCTTCTTCTGGAGCAATCCCTCAGGTAGCCTCCTGGCCCCTGGCTCCTGTTGAAGCCAAGGGTGGGTCAGCCCTTCTGCTTCCAGAGGGAGGGCTGAGCTCAGAGAGGTGCTCTGTCTAAGGCGCAGGGCTGGCTGGTGGCCGATGGGAACTGGACCAGGACTCCAGTGCCAGGTTTGTTTTCCATCTGTCAACGGCAGAGGGATCTCCTCCTTCCTGTGCATGCTCAGAGTCTCCACTTGTGTCTCTGAAGTCAGCCAGCACTCATTTCGCCTCCAGCTTCTATAGCCTTTTCCTTTCTTCTGGCTTCTTGACCTTGAAGAAGCCAGGCCTCCACTGGCCATTGCTGTCCTGTCTTCCTTACCCCTTCTCCTGGCCTTGCTTCTTTAGTGGGGGCCTGGCAAATTTTCACCCTCCTTCACGGAGACCGCCACCCCAGTCAGGGCGCCCTCACATCCTGAAGGGGAGAGCTCCAGACACTGGCAATCGACCTGCTCTTCCCCTCTCCTCATCCTAAGCCTTGCCTGAGGACCATCGCCTTGCACTGGGTAGCCATGATGGCCGCTTCAGGCACAGGCCTCCCGTCTTGGTAACATCAAAGCGATGCTTTAACAGTGCAGAAGTATCTGGGTGTGGTGGTACACACTTGTAATCCCAGCTACTCAGGAGGTTCATGAATTTCAGGCAAGCCTGGGGAACTTAGTGAGACTCTGTCTCAAAATAAAAAACAGAAAGGGCTGGGGATATAGCTCAGTGTGAAGGCCTTGGGTGTCCTGGGCCACAGGGGGAACCCCCCCCCCCAAGAATACAAAACTAACCCAATCCACCTCCCCACCCAGCTCCACATTCTTAAAAACCCTTCAACGACTTCCACTCTCGTATGATAAAGATCCAACTCATCAAGAGGACCACGGTCTCCTGCACTGCACCCCCATAACCTGGCCATCCCCAAGGGCCTGGGAACACGCTGGTGCCTCTGACGGGAACATTTTTCCTTACTCTTTCCCTCAGTAATGTATGTTCACCCTTTAGTTCTCAGCTAAATCATCATTCCTCAAAGAAGCTTCCCCCAACTTGGCAGTCCAAATCAAGGCTATCCATTACTGACCCTACGTCGAATTTACATTTCCTTCTAAACACCTTTCCAAATTTGTAGTCTCTCATTTGTTTAGTGTCTCTTCCATATGACCTTGGCAGCTCCCACAGGGCAGTCAGGTTTCCCCGTGGCTCTGGGTCACTGTCACCCTGCGCCAGGCTAGGCATGCTGTCCCATGAAGCTTCCTCCCCTGGCTCCCGGTTGTGGCCCAAACTCCTGACACAGCATCGTCTGTTCCATTTGCTTGCTCCTCTTCTGTGTGTGTCCCCCAAGCTTCGCCCCTGGGCTCTTCTGTGCGCAAGGCTTGCCTTACAATCTCACTGACAGTTTCCCCACAGACAGCCTCACGTGTGTCTCCCCTATCCCTGCACCTTCCTAGCCACTGGGTGTCCGCGCAGGTCCTTCAGGCTGGCTCTGTTTCACATTTTACTTCAGCCCCATGAGCACTTTTTCTTTTCATACTTCGATGGCTCCTCCCTGTTCACCTCCCCAGCAAAGAATCAATGCAGTTCTTGTCTCTGCCCCCTTGGTCAAGCTGCCCTTCCTTCCCACCTCCTATAAGTCCTTGTCCTTCATTGTATTACACAAGAACTTAACTCAAAGCCTCACAAATGCTGGTTTCTCACTGTCTCCTCAACCCTCTGTTTCTCCCACCAGGAACATTGGCAGAGTCTTCTCCCACCATTGTCTGGGGTGGGATGGGAAGCCAGGGAGATGGGGAAGGACCCCATTTTATTAAGCACACATTATAATTCCAGCACTGTGATTGGGTATTTTATATGAGCAGAGTAGATGTGCCAGCATGGATATGCATAGGAACCACTTCAACTATTTCTCCAGAGCTCCCGGAGCCTACAGAGCACATCCTCAAGGAAGCAACGGATAGAACAGAGATTGCCAGCTCCCCTCCATGAGGATGATGATGTATCCGTTCCAACAGAGACTCAGGTGCTCTTGAAATGTACTGTCAAGTGACTTCTCTGTGCCAGCTCCCAGTCCCTCCTGGTCTGCACCCTGGGCCATACCCAAAAGCCAGGGTTGCAGGGGCTTCTCACCAACTCTGCTCCTGTTGCCCAGATAATAGAAAGACCTAGAACTCATGGACTTGAAGTCTTCCTGTGTGCTCTTCCCCAGTGTTGCTCTCTGGGGTACACTTCCAGAAACTCAAGTGCTTGTTTTGTATGATTCCGCAAGAAGAGAAGAGGGAAAAGTATTGGACTGCTGCTTAAAAAATGTAATTAGCATCATATTTTAACGACACGGTGACAATAATTGCTTCCCGACAATACTGAGACATCTGCGATACTGACTCCCTGGTGCCTCTGTCAGAGTTAGTGATACTGAAGTCCTCAGTGTCCCGAAAACAGGCCGTGAACTGGGCTCGCTCCTCAGCCCTGCTCCCCTTCCCCTCTTTTGGCTCGCAGGCCGTGCTCAGAGCTGCATTGCTATGCTCAGGTTAACCTGCATCACCTTCAAGAAACATCGAAGCCTGGGCTTTTTTGGGGAGAGACCATTGCAGCCTAGGTTAAGCACAAATGAAATTTTCTTTATTCAAGTAGCTTTTTAGGTATCTGTTTCCCTCCATTAGCAGGATAACTAAGAGCTGCACAGAAAGACCCACAAGTTTTCCTTCTAGCGGGATAGTTTCTTACCTGTTGCTTTCTTCCAGGATACATTTATCACAATGGAAAGAAGGGCCAGCTGGACCCAGTGAATCTAACCTAGCATCTCTCGTGAAAGGGGGTGGAAGGGCACAGGAAGAAACAGACCTCAGACCCCCTCCCCACATACTCTGCATTTTTCTGCTATCATGAAAAGAAACTGAGGGTCTCCCATTTGAAAAAGTACTGAACCGATGCCTGGATTCGATTTTCAAACTCATGCCACGTCTGGAGCCAAACTGTATCCCATGTCCTTCTTCCCCTTCTACAGGTGGCCACCTGACGTTCCTCCTCTTGCTACTAACGCTAACCCCTGCCCCTCCAGTGATGAACCAACCCACTCTACCTGCAGGAGGAAGCTCCCTGCCCGCCTCCCAGGACAGCCCCAGCGGCTGAAGCCAGCTTCCTTGCTACACCCTGGGAAGAGCCCAGGGCTGGGGTTTGCCGTGCCTACTCACGCCAGCCTCGCCCCACAGTTCTCTCCTTCGATGTCACCTCCGGCCACGTTTTCAGTGTTGACGGACTCGGTCTCACTCGTGGGCATGCTCACTGCAAGAAGCAAAGGGGTGAGGGCAAGGTGTTGAGGGTGGGGGAGAAGGGGAGCAGGAGAGCATTAGAGTGCCACGCACACGGTCCTGGAGCTTCGATCTGGCTGGGAGGAAGAAGCCTGAGGCTCTGCTGGCCCATCTGTGGGGCCCAGACCCTCGAACTATCCTGACCACGCCTGAGGGTTTTCTACTTGCTGCTTGCCCAGGGGAAGTTTGACTGCCGAGGACAACATGAACTAGCGGGAATGTGGGATGGGATCTGGTGATAAGGTCTCTTTACCTTATAGGACACATCTGGAAAAAACTGACCAATGAATTCTTTTCTCTACTCTCAACCCTGTGACAGCAGAAGAACTGTGGAAGCATCTACTGTCACTGCAGAAAGAGAGGCTTTCATGCACACTTTATCTCCCTCATTTCTTCCCACACACCAAATCGAACAGGCTCCTTCAGGATTAGGGTTCAGTTCTTTTTTTTGGCAAAAAGGGCTGCCTGTGTGCACTCTCAGATGGACTTTGAATATTTCCCCTTTTCCTGCAGTGCATCCTGCAACCCAAGTCAGTTATATGTAGGACTGTATCTGAAATGGCAAGCTTGAAAAGAATAGCCATTCCCAGAGCCACACACCGAGACCCATTCTAGCGCTATGGACATGAGGACTGGAGATGCCTGAGTGCGGAATCCACAAAATCCAGCTTAAAAATGTGGCATGAGAAGAGCTTAACATGAATCCTCCTCCTTGTCTAGCAATCCTGACATTCCAGTTGACTTGGGACATTGAAATCCGTCAGACGCAACTTGGTCCAGTCAACAGTCAGGCTGTCAAGGGAGCTGTGGGCTGGATTTCCACACCTGAGTGGGTCTTCTAGAGTGAGTGTAGAACCCAGCCTGGTGGTTTACGAAGGAGCCACTTTTAATTATTTATTTTTCTAAATAAGAGTTTAACTCAAAGAATTGTCGCTTTTGTCACTTTTCCTTTCAATACCCCAAGTTCCTTAGTTTCGCCAGTGCTTGTTCTTTAGAGTGGCCTGGCCCAGCTCTCCTTCTGGAGGAGAACACCTCATCTGCTGAGAAGATCACCAGCCTGCAGGAGCCACAGGGTCTGCAGTTAGTGAAGGTGTGACATTTGGGGACAAGTCTCCACAGAGCTGCCACAGTCTAAGAAAAGATGTACTGGTTGTATAACGTTGATAGACATGGACTTTTGGGTGAAGACAGGCCAGGTGGGTGAGGAGAGACTGATTTCAAGAATAAAGAAGATACAAATAAGGGCCAGGGATTTAGCTCAGTGGTTTCGCTGCCTGCTGCGCAAGTGCAAGGACCCGAGCTCGATCCCCAGTACCACAAAAAAACAAAAGAAGATACAAATAAGAAGCCTATGATTTGCCACGTATTTGTTTTGGGGTTTTTTTTTTGGCACCAGGGATCAAACTCGGGTCCTTGCGGTTGCGCAGCAGGCAGCGAAACCACTGAGCTAAATCCCCGGCCCAGATTTGCCACATATTTATCACATGGGAGAGAACTCTCCAACTGAGACTGCTTTTTAATAAAGTTGGATAACAGTAAATCCCATGTCACAGATGTTTAGGGCTGGATGGGCCGCTATAAATCATCCTCTCACTTTGCAGGAGAGGACAGTAATGCTGAGAACAGGGCTGTGATGGCAAAGGTCACACAGTACATTTGGGCAGCACTTGGACCAGGGCACAAGTGTCAGGCTCCTTGCGCCATGCTCATCGTGACGTCACCAACTTCCTACTCTTTACCCTAGGAAAGGACAGCATCCCTATAGCCAAGCACGACTCCAGAAGCATAGCTGGAGGGTAGCAAATAGCCCAACTGTGGGGTTGTGAGCGAGCTGGTGGGACCAGACTTAGAGATGGTTTTAGCACTGGGAGCTGGGAAGACAGACTTCAGAGCTCACCAGGTTCCTTGTCCTATCCACGTGAAGGAAGAAGTCACACAACTGAGGCAGCTTCAGCCTTTCACTCCATCTCTAATCATCTCTGAACTCAGGGTCCTTTAACTTCCTAGATGTTATTATTGGAGGGCTGAGCTGCACGTAGAAAGCTGGCTGACTTTTTGACACCTGGCTCCAGAGTCTCTTCTGTGCTAGTGGAGTGTGACAGTGGTGCTGTTAGGCACAGAAAGACAATAACCTTAAGAATGGGAAGACCTGGGCCTTAGGAGTCACCACACCATCTTCTAAGTCAAGGCACTGGCCCTACCAGTGACGAGTTTGCTTTTACAATGACCTTGATCCTAGCCAGCACTATCCAAAGGAAGGGCTCCATGAAAGAATAGTTGCTACTGTCATACATTCTGACTTTAGACATAGAAAGAGACGATGAGGCAGTGTTGAGAGGGACAGGTTGCCACGCCCTCACGAAACACACAGGTACACACAAATACACGTACATATGTACATGTGCACACACACACACAACCACCACATCACAAGCTGTCAAGAGAAACACCCTCTCATCCAGACCACTAAATGCCAACACACACTAACACACACAGAGCACACGGACATTACCATGGGTTTCTGTGGAGTGACTAAACCAAGCAAACTTTCCTTTCTTCTGATCCAGCAAGCTCGCCTGAGCGCCTCCTTTCACAGACAAGATGGTCAGTGTCAAGAACCAGGAACAAGACATCAACAGAGAACATGCAGTCAGCCATGGGCAAAAGAGAGAAACAAGGAACTCAGCTTTCACATGAAACATCCATTTTCATCTCCAAAAATTTACAAAAGAAAATAAATCAATAAACCAAAATATATGAGAAAATACAACAAAATAGAACCAAAACCCCAAATCGCAGGAGTTAACGACACAAAACAAATAATAGACCCTGAGTAAAACGAATGATACACTCTAGTGGAGGTTTTGGCCCACACCGGTACATCTAATTAGTGACTTTGAGGAGAGGACTTCCTGGGAGGGGCTGTCACTCACCTCTGCCACCTGCTGAGGGAGGTGCCACTGTTAAAATTCAGCTGCAGTGCTGGCACCTGCCTGCACTCCCATCCGCCAGCCAGGTGACACGTCCTCTCCCCTACATGGGGCCATATTGCAAAACTCTAACCTCACTATTTACAACTGGATAATGTCACTCACAAGTGGAAAAACAACCCACTGATCTACTGCCCCTCCATCCAGCTCTACCATTAAGTTCCATTCAGTAAAGGCTCATCAAATGCTTCAGTTCTGATCCTTCCCAAAGAGTAATGTAGCTGATTTATTTTTCTTCTTACAAATGTTTATTCTCCTTTGAGCTATGTGTATTCAATTTATAAATGTTTTGAATGCATAGTCTATTTCACATTTTTTTCTTTTTCTAAAGAGATAATCTGAGTTTGCTGCAGGTATAGAACAGCTAATCTACTCTTGGTATCTACTTTTAATCAGTCTAAGGAGGCAAGAGAGATGTTAAGTTGTCCGCCACTGGGTACACTTTTGAGGCAGCTTATAAATAGGAGAGAAGAATTCGGTGTGCTGCTCCTGGGTCTGGGCTGTAGCTGGAGACAAAGCGGGTAAAGGAGAGCGTAAAGACACAAATCCTTTAAGAGAAGGGGATTCTGTATTCTGAAGGGACCTGGAGTTCCGGGTGTCCCAAGCCTCAGCTAATTCCTTAGCATGAGTGTTCTCTCATCCTGTCACTTCATTTGATAAGACTAGCATCGATGGCTCTGCTTTGAGTGCACAGTGGAGGGTGCTAGACTGGGTGATGCGTGTGGAGGAGCAGCAATGAATGGAGGTGGGAAATCAGCCACTACTCTAGTCCTGTTGGGGAACAGGCAAGTGACCCAATCGGCCCCAGGAAAGGGTGTGCAGGCACACGTATTAGGGCTCTCGCCTTCATCCTCTTCCCCTGGAACTCAGGTTATGGCCAAAGAACTTCCTGGAACGTTGCTCCTTAGTGAGAATTCTGAAGACTGGCACGTATTCAGAAGGGGTCAGACTTGTTTTTGATCTGTGTAAAGGGCCATGTCCCAAGCACACTCATTCTAAAAATACAAAGTGTGGAATAAATAAAAACTTTATAATCAGTACGGTGGCATTAAAAAAACCCCTCAAAAATCCTACGTGAAAGTAGCACTGAGAGTTGGAAACTGGGTGAGTGACTTGGTTCAAGTTTTCCTCCTAGAGAGATGTTTGTCTTAATTTGGACTGATGACAGCCCCTAAATGAGCACCACACTATGGACAAAGCTTTACTTGGACATGTGAAAGGGCAGAGGTAAGGCTGAAAGTCACCAAGCTTTTGTTGTTCTGGTTTGTGGGAGGCAACAAGAGCTGTGATCAGTGACCAAGAGCCCAGAACACCGAGACCCTCTGTACAGAAGCACTGTCTAATGTTTGGCTCTGACATCAAGTATCTCATCTTGCTCAATTTCAGAAATAACTGGATGAGAACTTTAAAAACAATAGGAAGAATGTGAATTAAATACATAGCCATTTAATATATCACTGAATTTGACCAGGGCTGGTCTTTCAAATGGGCAAAGTTGCAGCCACTTTATGCCAAGTGATGGCCTGCAGTGCCTCCATAAGATCTGTGCTGTCCATAACATCCCTGGCTGGAATGAACATCTCATCTGGAAAGAGCAGTGTGCTAACTCAGGTGTCTACTTGCTTGTGATAATTTGGGAGGAATAAAGTGGGGGTAAATGGAGTTTGTATTCCCATTATTAAGGGATTAAACAGCAATATCATAGATGATTCTTTAAGGGAAACTTCCAGAAAGTGGAATGTCTAGACTGTTGAAGTTTAGAATCATAAATGCTGGATACTCATTCTACAGATGAGATGAAAAGTCTGACCCTTCCTTTGGCCACTTAAATAGTGAGGAGGTAGGAAACGAAGGCAGAAAGATGGCAAGGAACCTAGGTGGCTGAGGGTACACGGTACATTTCTCCTAAAGGCAACTCACTCCAATGCCCTTGGGAGTGCAGCTTGCCTGCTCCTCTGCAGACATCAGCCCCGCCAACACATGG